CACGAGCCGAGTTCTAGATTTTTGAAAGGCTTCAGTGTGAATGTAGGCATGTGTATATATATATATATATATATATATATATATATATATATATATATATATATACACATATACATATATATACATATATATACATATATATATACATACATATATATATATATATATATATATATATATATATATACAAATATATATGTATATATATATAATATGTATACACACACACACACACACATATATATATATATATATATATATATATATATATATATATACAAATATATATGTATATATATATAATATGTATACACACACACACACACACACATATATATATATATATATATATATATATATATATATGTATATGTATGTATGTATATACAGATGAACACAAATGTATATTATGATTACAAAAAAAGAAAATTATTTGAAACCATTACATATTCACGTCGTAGGTCTATGAACACTGTTGAGATTAAAATGCATAAGATGTTATATATTCACACACACCTATGCAAACATACAGGCATATCTCGCACACAAACCCACTGACATACTGCAACTTTAAGTTTCCGAGAAGTGCAAGCACTAGAAAAGTTCTTCATCATTCTTATTAATTTCAATCTTTTTTAACTTTTTTTTTCAGGCTGAGCGGAAAACGGGGAAGGATGCTACCTATCTTCCGCCCATCGTAAGTACTATTTCAAAATTCTATATAAAGATAGATGTATGATTGAGAATCAGAAAATTTCTTGTGTGGTTTCGTTGTTCATCCTCATTCATACATCAATATCTTTATCTGTCCATGTATTATCCACCATATCTCTATCTGTATCTATCTATTAACATTGACTATATCGATCTATCTGTCATTCATTATATTCATCCATCCATCCAACTAGCTACCTTTATATATGCACAAAAATAAGTTTGTTCTGAATGGGCACAAATACTTCCGAGGAATGAGCATGTTCACTGTCTGTAGATTTATACAAGCTTTAGCACACAGATAAACTTCAATTAAACCGTACCGATCTTGGCGAGATGCGACTAACCTTAATAAAATATTTGAATGATATTAGAATAGAATACTGCTCTCTATCCATCGATTTATACCCCTATCCATAGTTATGTGTATATATTGGCATCTAACTGCCGTATAATTCTCACAAAGCAATTGGAAAACTTGTAATTGAACAATACACTGAAAAGGCTAAAATGGTAAAGATTGATTTGTGATACTGCCACCGAATTAACTCAGGATTATACTTTTATTATGCAATAATGATCCATTAAACATACGTATCAGATATTTATTCAATCAAGAGAAATTAATGGAATTTAAATAATAGACTAGGTAAGGAAATAATTCTTGTTAGTTAACCCAAGTGTTTAGCCACCAAGAAGTCAGTTATTAATCCTACCAATCTGACCTGTTTACCCGTTTCCTTGATTTTTGGATAGTTTCATTTGTATTATGTTATTGTCTTTAGTGTTATCGTTTTGGTAACAGTTTGGTAATCATATTATGAAATAGTATAACACTATCACATTAATAGTATTACAAAGAACACATTTTCCAGCAAATTCAAAGAATATGCAAATCAGGCGCGGTAACTAGGGCCTACTAATAGACTCCTTGGTGTCTGAGCACATGTGGAGCCATTTGTATGTAACAATATTTACAAAAACATGCAGGGGACAGAACTTCAACCCGCTGTCGTTGGGTTAATGTTAATAGCAAATATTGTGTACATTCTTGGTCCTTCGTGATAACACTTTCAAATGCAAGGTTTATCCTTATAAAGTACCCGCGATATATATAAAATTATGAAGAGAAAATCTATAAAAAGGAATTTTATCAAACCGATTCCTAACCCAAAACACCTTAACATGTTCAACAACTGTTCTTTTATATTGTGTGGACAACTCTCTCTGAACCTATATTATAGAACAGTATGAAATGTCCCTACCACATGATCAGAAAATGGGGAATATTTGTTCACTTGGTCTCAGTCAATGGTTCTTAACCTTTTTATTACCACGCCCCCACCCCCCCTTCCGCCCATTTATAAAATTCCCTGCCAGATTTTTAATTAAATTAAAAAATTGTTTTTACTTTTTTATTTGAGTATGAATTAGTCCCAGTATTATAAAACTCGACAGTTATTTTCTCTCTTTATTTAGTTATTTTCGTTTTCGTAACGTAATCAAATTATATAAAGACATTAAGAAATATATATATTTTTTTATATCGCTTAAATCGTTTATTTCATGAAGACATGATATGATACGAGTCACAAAAAAAAAGAAAAAAGAAAAAAGAAAAAAAAAAAAAAACGCCTGAAAAGTGAAAAAAAAAACTTGAATGGCAGGACTCATTATTAAACCCATTAGAAGTAACTGTATTTGTGCACAAATACCTGTATGTGTATCCGTCGATGAACACTCACAAGCAGAAGTCCGACTACGCTCACAGCCTGGCATTTTTTTTTTATTATTATTTTTTTTTTTTTTTGCGAAGCAGAGCCTCGCCCGGGCTATGCCAATAAGGGAAGCCCGGTTTTGTTTGCATACGCCTCCCATAGATGGCGGGCAGTCGTATATAAAGTTAACAGGAGAAAGAAGGAGAGGAGGGAGAGGGGGCGGGAGAGAGGCAGGGAAGTCACGAGGCTGTATAGGGAGAGAAAGTAGCTTTACTTGCGTGTTCTTCATACAATCATAAAGGTACCACAAAAAATACATACAGCGTGTACAATAGGTATTGAAAATTAAGTAAAGTCTCTTATTGGAATGGCACATTACAAAAATGAGTGTGATTATGTCCGATCATCATAGATCCAAATATATAATAATCTAATAATATAGATTTAATGATTTAATATCTAATAATATAGATTATATAATATTTGATGATATATATTTAATGATATAATATTTAATAATATAGATTTAATATAGTATTTAATAACATAGATTCAATATAATATTTAATAATATAGATAAATTGCACCTTCACATACTAAATATAATAAAGTATTTCATTAAAAAATCATTATTTTATAAAAAGAAGAAATCGTTTCTTTGATGTTGCGGTGCCTGCTACTTATCTAATCTCTCTCACTCTTTCTATGCATCTATATCTTCACTCAATCTTTATCCCTGTCTCTATACTCTCTCTCTCTCTGCATGTATCTGTTTCTAGTGCCAGACCGATAGCGTCAAGCATTGCGTTTGGAACGTTGAGAGTGTAAACACAATGGAAGGTTTCAGTGATTGTTTTGGCCCGAGAACTGGAAAAAATGAACCATGCCCATGAGGTAGATATGTGGAAAAAAAATATATATATGTGTGTGTATAAACATAAACACACACATTTTCACTAATGCAAATACTTACATACTTCATTTATATATGTGTGTGTGTGTGCATATACATACATATACACAAACACACACACACACACACACACACATATATATATATATATATATATATATATATATATATATATATATGAACATAAACACACACATACGCATACACACATTTTCACTAATGCAAACAAAAGCAGGCACACGTGTAAATATATAAACACATACATGCACTCACGATAACGAAAATTATTACCTATGCCCTAAAGTAGATCACTCTGAAGGATTATACTACAATGACAATCTAGCTAGCATGAAAATATACACTTTTATTACAAAAAATAGTTCAAACATGCAAGAAAGGTTTTGGAATTACCGATAATTACATCAAATCTGTACGGAGAAAATGAGGCTGGAACATATCGAACTAGGAATTACGGCTATAACACAAATCTTTCAAAAATATACAATACTATCAAGAGAGGCGGAGGAACATGGACTTAACAAAAAATATAGATGATATCACACAGATGCACATCTCCAAATTTGCATGTCAGTACTTCACACGTGTATGGTATACGCGGAAACACTCAGGCAGACAGTGTAATCCCAGTCAGCGCATTGCCAGTGAGTCATATGACGCTTCCTCTGTCGCAGTTGTGTTTGCACACACGTGACATCTCCGTGGTCTTGGATTTGTCGGAGTTACCTCAAAACTTGGGAAGTGGCGTTCGGCAAGTCGCAAGGGTTTTGTTACTGGACGAAATGAATGAGGTCTTGGCACTTGTCGCTCTCGGTATCTGACAAGCATCTGATGCAACATGGTGTGGCTAAATTCAAGAAAGGAGGGCCTAATACCTGTTTTGACCAAGTACATGTAATAAGAGTCTAGTCTTGCCATGTCCACAATATGAGTTTTTTTTTATACCATTTGATTGATTTTCTGAGGCTGTCTACGCAACTCAAAGGCATATCAGCTTTGTCAATGATACGCATTCGATGGGTATAGTCAACCACACCTTCTGGCTTCCTTATTGGCTCTCCTGTGGTGTAATCTCTTTTCAGTTTGAATAATCTTGTTCTCGTGAATGGATGTTAACATATGGACCATTCGTTTGGCAGACTACTTGAAGCACATCATGTTGTTCTTGCGGCAAGCACTAACTTCCCCCCAGTTGACTGCAGGGAACCAAGGCACACCTTTTCTGTTAGGTCGAACTGTGCCACAAGTTCCTGTACTGTTTTGCTGTAGGTGTTCAAACAGAATTGGACTGGCGTAATAATTATCTGTAAAAAGATTATGTCCTTTTCCCAAGTATGATTCTATCAAAGTGTTGACTACTGAGTCAGCAAAGCCAAATTTAGAGTCTACCTGAACCTCAGTTTGTGCACCAGTGTATAATAAAAAATCCAAGATGTAACCTGTCTCAACATCACAAATTAAAAACAATTTTAGGCCGAATCTGTGGCGCTTATTAGGCATATACTGACGGAAAGCAAGTCTACCTCTCCACAGCACCAGACTTTCGTCAATACTCAAATCTTGGAAGGGCTTAAATTTCGTTGAAAACTTGTGCCTGATGTCATTCATTACCCTTCCTGTCTTTGATAATCTGTGATGTGCATTTTGATTGTCACTGAAATGAAGGTGACGCAAAATTAGTAAAAATCTATCCCTACTCATTATTGCTCCAAACATTGGTGTTGATATGAGAAAGTCTGTAGACCAATAGTTATTTATCCTGTGCTTTTTTACATGAGCCATGGCCATGCACAAGAGGAATATTCGCATTTCATTTATATCTATTGGTTTCCACTGATGCATTCGAGAATTTGATGAGTAGTCTTCCTTGTTCATCGGATATTCATGATATGCACTTGACTGTTGCACAATGTCGTCGATGAGAGCATTATATAAAAAAAAAAAAAAAAAAAAAAAAAAAAAAAAAAAAAATCGAGCTCCTCGGGGTCCTCAGTGACGGAGTAAGTATTGCTGATCCCTGCATCTCCTTCGAAGGGGAAGAGAACAGGACGGAACTCGGAAAACCTCCATTCATCTGGCTGCTCATGACGGGCTCACCTCCATCATCTTGATGTGACGCACCTGTGTCAGGATGTGGTTCTTAGTCACTTTCTATAAATAAGATTACTTATGAAAGATCTAGGAGGAAATGCATTTTCAAGTGTATGTATTTGAAAGGCAACACGAAATGTGTGTTGATACGTGTATTAGAGCGTACTTGTGCATTTATGTGAGTTAGAGATTGTGCTATCAGAGTATTTGCATTTATATATTTGATTGTATGTGTATGAGAGTGGTTGTGTTTCTCAGAGATTTTCAATAATTAAACGTGTAAATTTAAGTATAATCTATGTGCTTGCGTGATATGGATTGCTCGCGCGATACTTCCCAGTACCTATGTTCCCAAATACGATGCGATCCCTCTGTTCCCCGTGTCGATGATCCCCTGAATGTATTAGGTACCGGTGCATCCCGGCATCTATAAGGTACCAAAGTTTCCTGGCACCTATATTCCCCGATTCGTATGTTAACCAGGGGCAAATACTCAGTGGTCCCTATGTATGCTAGATAAGGAAATAAGAACTGGATTTGCATGGATTTGTATGAGCATTTCAATATTTTTGATGCAGGTGAACATCGTTCAAATGGAGAAAACGTAATTTTATATAATTTGTAAATGTCTGTGATAGGACATGTATTGACTTTTTCCAGAAGTTTGGATTTGTGCACACAAGTCCGTGTGAATCATGAACAGTAAGTTTGGGTCATCTGTATAATTATTCCCCCCCCTGCCCTCTCTCTCTCTAACTCTCACTCACTTTCCCGCTTACGCTCTCTCTCTCTATCTCTTGTAAGAGCGTAAGAGTGAGAGAGCGAGAGCCTAGGGGCAGGATTTACTAAACTCTCTCGTAAACGCTGTCTCCCGTAACAGTTACGAGAAGTATCAACGAGTTCTCAACAAGCGACGTTACGACCCATTTTCGAACGTTACGACCGTATTTCCTATCTCTAGGTATCGTGGGGCTTTATTTCCTAAAAGAACGGCTCGAACGACCAATCACAGACCTAATGAGGTTTACCAATAACAGTTTCTTTATGAAAATTTCGCATAAAATGTGATTAAACAGGATTTCTAAAATGATGGTCTATATATATATATATTATATATATATATATATATATCTATATATATATATATATCTATATATATATATATCTATATATATATATATCTATATATATATATATATCTATATATATATATATATATCTATATATATATATATATTATATATATATATATCTATATATATATATATAATATATATATATATATCTATATATATATATATAATATATATATATATATAATATATATATATATATAATATATATATATATATATATCTATATATATATATATTATATATATATATATATATCTATATATATATATATATAATATATATATATATATCTATATATATATATATATCTATATATATATATATCTATATATATATATATCTATATATATATATATCTATATATATATATATCTATATATATATATATCTATATATATATATATTATATATATATATATCTATATATATATATATCTATATATATATATATCTATATAATAAGGCAAATAAAAGCCATGAGACTTTAATGCAAGTAAATGTAATTTTTCTAGTTAGTCATGTGCGATGGGGTCACTTTCATCAGTAAATGCCTTTATTAATTTTCACCAACTTTATCAGTAAACTATATATATGTGTGTGTGTGTGTGTAATAAAAACATAGCAATATAAGTAAAAACATAAATATATATAAATATACGCACATACATATATATATTTGTGATATATATATAAATATAAATAAAAATAAAAATAAATATATATATACATATATATATATATATATATATATATATATATATATATATATATTGCACACATACATCTGTCTCTAGCTCTTTCCCTCTCTTTTAATCAGTACTATCATCACTTTTTTTTTTTTTTTTTTTAATAAGTCAAAAGCATTTCATTATAATTTCATAAAGAGAGTCTGATACACTATAACAAATTTGTTATAATTATCTTTTCTCATTATTCATCAGTAAGCTAAACCCTTCCTTCCATAATAATATTATAGGGTATAAGGAGGTGTGCTTATATGTTGATAACCATTGTAATTGATTATTTATTATAATTTGTTGTTCTGGAGAAAAATAGTCATACTGATGGATTATAAATTTTCACTCAAAATTTGTTCCTGATGAAGTGCCAGAACTCCTGTAATTCATGATAAACTAAACTTGCCGAGTGATTTATATTAGGCCCACATTAAGTGTTTCCACGGCCTCCGCGGATCGGCAAAAGCTATCCTTATTTACCGCGGCCTCCGCGGATCGGCAAAAGCTATCCTTATTTACATTAGCCATATTGTTTTTTTCTGTTACCATGCCTCCTCAATGTGTTTGCTCTTACACATTAATTGATTTACCTTAAGAAAAGTCACAGCTGCCATAAAGGTATTTATGAGGCTGATATGAGAAGGGGAAGGTCGCCCAACGAACGTTCCGAGTGGTTTCGGGTGCCCGCAGAAGTTTCTCGTTCGGAGGTTTGTTTACGAACTCGGAGGTGTTTTGTAAATGCGCTCGTTGCGAGAAACGAGGAGGTACCTTGGTTTACGATGTAAACAGACCTCATACGATCTCGTATATGCGTTAGGAAATCCGGCCCCAAGTAAGCAACAAATGCTGACGCCTAAACTGATCCCCTATTGGAAGGCTGCCCCCCCCCCCACCACAAAATATTCACCCCAGTAAGTTTCACCCACACCTTACCTCAAGCATTACCTCGGGTTCTTCCGGGTCGTTGTTGGCAGGAATCGCGTTCCTCATCGGGCAGCCGAGGGTTCTTTTCGCGGCCTCGAGAACTGGTGATGGACTCGTGTCTGTTTTTCCTGAAATGACACGGTGGTGTTTTAGTTCGGGCGCAGTACTTCCACAGGCAGTACACCGTGATTTCGCGGGTATAACAAACAAACTCGCGTCTTTATTTCGATGATATTTTGCAATGAAATCGAAATAGTTATCATCACACCCGATACACTGCCTAGCCATGATGGAACTGATTTGAATTTCAACCGCCTTCTCCAAGGTCCCAGCTTTTATTGTCACGTGATGATCTATTTCTTGTCTGATTGGTTCTGTCGTGCAGGACGTCACTGCCTATGATCACGTCACGTTCCAGCGCAAATGTAATTGGCTCTTTTGACTTTCCTCGATTACGCCATGCGCTACGAATCCGTCCGATTTTCCATCGGTTTCAACGACATTTTGTCATTTTGTCGCGACGTTGGGGTCGGTAGGTAGCTGCGTTTCCTGGATTTTACACCTTTATTACCGTTATTATGAATTTGCGAAGAAAATGGTATAGGAGAAAACTTTCATAGAATGATGTGCTCTACTACTTGGAAAGCTCAGATTCTGCATTTAAGGTCATTACCAATAATACCAAAATCTCTTCCTCTAGATTACCGAGGGTCCTGACATTTTGTACAGCGAGAGGTCAGCCGATAAGGTGAGCTATATTCACATTATCTATTATAGAGATGCTTAGGTGACTGGAATAATAGTGCTTTAATTTTCGTTACTTCCCAAATGAATGATAATTATCCATTTAATGTTGTGTTAATATGCAAAAGGTTTATGCATAATATATGCCGGAAATGCTTCTTGACATTTTCTTTTCTTTATGCAGATTTCTAATGATTTTTAGTAGATACTTAGAAGTAGATTATATATGTGTGTGTGTATGTGAAGAACAAAAAAGGCGAAAATTATCACTGTTTTCATTTCATTCTTGTATCCATTACAATTCTACCCTATATATATATATATATATATATATATATATATATATATATATATATATATATATATATATTTATATTTATATTTATATATATATATTTATATATATATTTTTTTTAATCCATACCCCCAAAAAATAAAATAAATCGTATCAAACCAATTTGAAATAAGTATTTCAACAGGATCGGGACGGAGTGAACAACGGGACTGAACACATTACACTACCCGGGAATCATCATGTAAGTTTATATAAATATTTAATTCCAAGGGTATTGTATCAGCACGTTATTACTATAATTTTCCTAATTATGTTATTATCGTTTACGAAATTTGTTTCCGTTATTTATTGTGTGACTTTTAAGTCTCTCTCTCTCTCTCTCTCTCTCTCTCTCTCTCTCTCTCTCTCTCTCTCTCTCTCTCTCTCTCTCTCTCTCTCTCTCTCTCCCCTTCGCAACTCCCTTTTTATGTTCTGTTTGAATTGCCCGTTTCTTTATTAGCACTTTCTAGCATATTTCCGTTACTCAACATCAATGTGATTGGAGAATCAAGAGAAGGAAAGATAGATGAATAAACAAATGGACTAACATATATATATATATATATATATATATATATATATATATATATGTATATATATATATATATATATATATATATATATATATATATATGTATATATATATATATATATATATATATATATATATATATATATCAGAGATACAGATATCCAGAGAGGGAAGGGAAATAAAGCCCGTGAATTAAGTTGCAACGTTAAACTTTTTTGCTCTGTTTATCCTTTCAGGGCGACGAGGGAGACGACATCTTACTCACGGAGGAACAGCTCGCAGCAGCCAACCTGAGCAGGTCGTCGGAAGAATTGGTACGTAGCTCTGTCCTTAACGCAGGACAGGCAGTGCTCAGTGTCATTGTAATGCCAAGAGGAAACTTAAAAAGGGGGAAAGACAATTAAAATGAATGATGAAATGGGAAAAAAAAACAAATAAATAGTGAGATACATAATGGATAAATTTCCATGAGGAAGTATAAAATGGGGAACAATAAGCGAATAAATAACTAAAAATAAGAAATAGAGGTCGAAATACAAGTAATCTCAGTACGTTTTTTTACGTCCGTACGCTTCATAAGATTACGAATGGATATTACTGTTATTTTTACCCTTATACAGGTGGCATTTAAACGTGCTACTTTTCCAGCTCGAGAAACTGGGGGACACGATGCTGACTCCGGAGCAGCTGGCCGTCATCCTCGACAGGAAAGCGATCGACGACGTCACCAAACACTGGCCTGATGTCAACGGCTTCCCTCACATTCCCTATACCTTTGAGGACGGTTCGTGTCGCTTGACAGTGCACCCTTGTTAAGAAAGAGCTTTTGGCCTTTTTCATATATGTATAGACGCTAACAGGCATGGGTCGATGTTTCATGATCAGGGTTATGTGAAGCGATGGTGTGGAAGTGTTAAGTGCTTTCCATGTCTTCTCGCTAGCAGCTGCCTTCGTTGGCTAGCTTGATAAGAAATGGGAGTAGCTATACATAAGCCTACCCTGCCAGCTCATAGCCTCTCCATCATCAAGACTTCTGCGGTGCTTTCTCCTGGCCACCCAAGGAAACTAGGCACCTTGCTGTCCTAGCATGAAATGGGGAGGAGGCCCTAAAGGTACAGTCATGGCCCGCCGGTATGTGGACACGCCCTGGCTTTGTACTAACTCCTACCCTGGTGCCCCTGGGGTTAATGGGTGTCTGTGGGGAGGCAGGCCTTGTCAGTCTGCCTCCCCAAGATAACCTAACTGGCAGTGAATCTCATAGATGTTGGTGCTGGAGGAAGGGCTAACATCCCTCTTACTCAGCAAGTAAGGCAGGCTGTGGGTCCCATTGTGTTGGCGACCACTGAGACTCGGTCAGGGAGCGGGGGTCTTTCCATCTGTATTTCGGCGGCCGCCAACCGCCAAACCCATAGGACCCCTATAGGTGGATTAGGGGGCCTGCAGCCAGCCAATCCTCTCTATATGGGGCGGTGTCGGTGGGGGTGGCAGAGGTGGTGTCCACCCGAAGTGACTTCCCAAGGTTAGACCTCAGGCAGGCTGTTAGGGTAGAGGCTTGGAACATCCGTTCTTTGTGAAAGGACGATGGGTTACCACTACTGTAGAGGGAGCTGAAGCAGCTGAGAGTTGAGGTGGCTGGTCTCTCGGAGGTGAGAAGACCTATCAGCGGCACGATTAGCTATAAGATGTCTGTCGGTCCTCATGGCTCAGGAGCTGGTTCTAGCAGTGAGAATAGCCTCCTTTTCCGGGACTTTGCTAAGTCCCAGAAATTGAGGATTTCTGGCTCCTGGTATCAGTGTTCTGACCCACATTGTTGGACTTGGTGGCCAAGGAGATCCAGCCCCACTGCTGAAGATGAGTTCTAACAAGGATTGTTGGATTAATAGCAAGCCTGTATACTAGCACTGAAAGTACTGTAAAGTGTGGTGGGGGCCTGTCGAGCTTCTTCCCTGTTAGTTCAGGAGTGAGGCAAGGCTGTGTTGTTGCACCAACACTTTTCAACACTTGCATTAACAGGATACTGGGTAGAGCTTCTGTCCAAAATCACTGCAGAGCAACTCTGGGCAATATCAAGGTTACAGACCTTGACTTTGCTGATAATGTTGCTATTCTGTCTGAATCTCTGAACGCCCTAGTGGCGGCTCTTGATACATTTAGCAGTGAAGCGAAACCCCTGGGGCTAAAGGTCTCCTGGACCAAGACTAAAATCCAGGATTTTGGGGGCCTGCTAGGAGATCCTGTTCAGTTGGAACATGCTTGCAGAATATCGAGGTCACAGAGAACTTTATATACCTCGGTAGTGCAGTTCATGACTACAGGCAATCAGAATTGAAAGTTAATAGGCAGATTGGCCTGGCAGCTGGGGTCATGAAATATCTCGACAAGAGTATTTGGAGATGCCAGTTCCTGTGCAGAAAGACCAAGCTACATGAATTCTAGGCCCTGATACTGCCAGTTTTACTATGTGGTAGTGAAACCTGGATGCTATCTTGTGCTTTGGGATTTCGTCTTGATGTCTTTTGTAACAGATCCTTGTGCGAGATCATGAGGTACAGTTAGTGGAACCATGTGTCCAACCAATGGTTGCACCATTAGACTGGTACAGGACCTGTTACTTGCACAATCCACGATTGCCAACTCAGGCTATATGGCCACCTGGCTCGTTTCCCACAGGATTGTCTCTGTTCGAGACAACCCTGGGTGGAGGATGCCTGTGGGACATCTGAGGAAGTCATGGCTTGGGCAGATCTATCAAACCTGTCGTGAAGAGAGATGAGCCGGGCCCCTGCCTCGTAGGTGGAAACTAAGGGTGGATGCGGCTATACGACCCCGCCGGCGTTAGCTCCCCATTGATGATGATATACGTACATTCAGACTTATCTCTAAATGACTCTCCAGACTTGGTTGACAAAGCAGCCGTCCGGGAGGCCATCCAGCACTGGATCGACAACAGTTTCTTTAAAAGTTTTAGAGATTTGTGAGCTTAAGTTATAATTTTTTATGAGTTTTAGTTTCTTTAAAAGTTTTAGAGATTTGTGAGCTTAAGTTATAATTTTTTATGAGTTTTAGTTTCTTTAAAAGTTTTAGAGATTTGTGAGCTTAAGTTATAATTTTTTATGAGTTTTAGTTTCTTTAAAAGTTTTAGAGATTTGTGAGCTTAAGTTATAATTTTTTATGAGTTTTAGTTTCTTTAAAAGTTTTAGAGATTTGTGAGCTTAAGTTATAATTTTTTATGAGTTTTAGTTTCTTTAAAAGTTTTAGAGATTTGTGAGCTTAAGTTATAATTTTTTATGAGTTTTAGTTTCTTTAAAAGTTTTAGAGATTTGTGAGCTTAAGTTATAATTTTTTATGAGTTTTAGTTTCTTTAAAAGTTTTAGAGATTTGTGAGCTTAAGTTATAATTTTTTATGAGTTTTAGTTTCTTTAAAAGTTTTAGAGATTTGTGAGCTTAAGTTATAATTTTTTATGAGTTTTAGTTTCTTTAAAAGTTTTAGAGATTTGTGAGCTTAAGTTATAATTTTTTATGAGTTTTAGTTTCTTTAAAGTTTTAGAGATTTGTGAGCTTAAGTTATAATTTTTTATGAGTTTTAGTTTCTTTAAAAGTTTTAGAGATTTGTGAGCTTAAGTTATAATTTTTTATGAGTTTTAGTTTCTTTAAAAGTTTTAGAGATTTGTGAGCTTAAGTTATAATTTTTTATGAGTTTTAGTTTCTTTAAAAGTTTTAGAGATTTGTGAGCTTAAGTTATAATTTTTTATGAGTTTTAGTTTCTTTAAAAGTTTTAGAGATTTGTGAGCTTAAGTTATAATTTTTTATGAGTTTTAGTTTCTTTAAAAGTTTTAGAGATTTGTGAGCTTAAGTTATAATTTTTTATGAGTTTTAGTTTCTTTAAAAGTTTTAGAGATTTGTGAGCTTAAGTTATAATTTTTTATGAGTTTTAGTTTCTTTAAAAGTTTTAGAGATTTGTGAGCTTAAGTTATAATTTTTTATGAGTTTTAGTTTCTTTAAAAGTTTTAGAGATTTGTGAGCTTAAGTTATAATTTTTTATGAGTTTTAGTTTCTTTAAAAGTTTTAGAGATTTGTGAGCTTAAGTTATAATTTTTTATGAGTTTTAGTTTCTTTAAAAGTTTTAGAGATTTGTGAGCTTAAGTTATAATTTTTTATGAGTTTTAGTTTCTTTAAAAGTTTTAGAGATTTGTGAGCTTAAGTTATAATTTTTTATGAGTTTTAGTTTCTTTAAAAGTTTTAGAGATTTGTGAGCTTAAGTTATAATTTTTTATGAGTTTTAGTTTCTTTAAAAGTTTTAGAGATTTGTGAGCTTAAGTTATAATTTTTTATGAGTTTTAGTTTCTTTAAAAGTTTTAGAGATTTGTGAGCTTAAGTTATAATTTTTTATGAGTTTTAGTTTCTTTAAAAGTTTTAGAGATTTGTGAGCTTAAGTTATAATTTTTTATGAGTTTTAGTTTCTTTAAAAGTTTTAGAGATTTGTGAGCTTAAGTTATAATTTTTTATGAGTTTTAGTTTCTTTAAAAGTTTTAGAGATTTGTGAGCTTAAGTTATAATTTTTTATGAGTTTTAGTTTCTTTAAAAGTTTTAGAGATTTGTGAGCTTAAGTTATAATTTTTTATGAGTTTTAGTTTCTTTAAAAGTTTTAGAGATTTGTGAGCTTAAGTTATAATTTTTTATGAGTTTTAGTTTCTTTAAAAGTTTTAGAGATTTGTGAGCTTAAGTTATAATTTTTTATGAGTTTTAGTTTCTTTAAAAGTTTTAGAGATTTGTGAGCTTAAGTTATAATTTTTTATGAGTTTTAGTTTCTTTAAAAGTTTTAGAGATTTGTGAGCTTAAGTTATAATTTTTTATGAGTTTTAGTTTCTTTAAAAGTTTTAGAGATTTGTGAGCTTAAGTTATAATTTTTTATGAGTTTTAGTTTCTTTAAAAGTTTTAGAGATTTGTGAGCTTAAGTTATAATTTTTTATGAGTTTTAGTTTATATATTCTAATATCATTATTTATTTTTTTATGAGTTGTAGCTTTTAGGTTCTATTTTTATTTTTTTTTAGTTACTTTCTGTGAGTTTTACTTTTTTATGAGTTTTAGTTTTGTGAAGTTTTATTTTTATGAGTTTTAGTTTCTTTAAAAGTTTTAGAGATTTGTGAGCTTAAGTTATAATTTTTTATGAGTTTTAGTTTATATATCCTAATATCATTATTTATTTTTTATGAATTTTAGTCTTGTTTTCATGTTTAAGTGTTTTTTTTATGAAACAGTTTTGTTAAGAGTTGTAATTTTGCTAAGAGTTAGTTATTTATTTTTGCTGTGAGTTCGTCTTATTTCAATTCAGACCTTGACTTTCCATGACCTTCGTTGGCAGTTTGGCAGTCTGGTGCATGAGGTCGGGCACGCCTTGGGCTGCTGGCATGAGCAGTCAAGGTCAGACCGAGATGCATACATCATAATTCTCACACAAAACATCAGGGCAGCGGCGCTTCATAACTTTAACCTCAAGACGACCAACAATTATGGTGTGCCGTATGACTATTCCTCTATTATGCATTACTATGCGCAGGTAAGTCATGTGGCTTTTACAGTTCTAATTGTCATATATATATTATCCAGCGCGAAGGCCTCTCCCACATGGACAAGCTCTTAATAAACACCATGTACGGCTGTACAAATAAACTCCTCATCACGTGCGGACTAGCTAGTGATCCCTGTCAGAATAATGGTTATTTGGGAAGTAACTGCATGTGCGTGTGTCCTAATGGAACTTCAGGGAGCAACTGCGAGACTGTTGATACGCTCTATAATGGTTGGTTTCTCTTTTCGGTCTGTATTTGCATTGATAACTTCCTTACTTTTGGTCTCACACAGATTGTCATCTGTTAATGTCTTGTCTCACAAATGAAATATCTTATCCCATTTTATTTCTCAGATAGTTACGTTCATTACTTTCATTATAGAACACTGCTGAGCTTAGATTATCATTAATACAACTCCCTGAATACTTTACTTCAGGAATAGAACTTTTGCGATATGCTCCTAACAAATATTCAAGAGACACTGTAAAAGTCAGGCATGTTAAATCATGATACCATTTTAACAAAATTTAAATATTCTTCAGATGCTATCCTATATTTCAACACCGAGATCGTCACCGTTGAGAAAACCGTTACAACCGTGAACCACCCTAATCCTTACCCGCATGGTAAGTATAGCTATACAGTCTCAGATCCTTACTTTCCTTTTTTTTTTTTTTTTTTTTGTCATTATACTTACTTTCCATTCGAAGATAGTATGACTCAGAACAGGTCCTTCTTAAGCTTTACTTATTTGTAAACCTTTAGACGTCCTGACAGTTTTCCCTCAACTTAAGCGTCAAAAATTGATAAAACTATATTCCAACAATATTTCATTGTGAACTCCGTGTGTTGAATTTCCTGATATATATATATATATATATATATATATATATATATATATATATATATATATATATATATATATATATATATATATATATATATATATATATATATATATATATATATATATATATATATATATATATATATATATATATATATATATATATATATATATATATATATATATATATATATATATATATATATATATATATATATATATATACATATATATATATATATATATATATATATATATATACATATATATATATATATATATATATATATATATATATATATATATATATACGTGTGTGTGTGTGTAAATGTGCATTACACACACACATATGTGTGTGTGTGTATGTAGAAAGAGAAGTCACGATCTGTAAGTCTAAGACTTCTACAAGACTGGGTCCATCACTCGAAGTTCCAGCATGCGTGCCCTTCTTCATATTTCTTGATGCAAATCCTTTCTTCATGATTCTTTTCCACAGGGCTTCTCTCTGAACGGCCACAATACTATCGTGACCAGAGACCCGAGGTTCCAAGCTGCAATTGGCCAGCGCGAAGGCCTCTCCCACATGGACAAGCTCTTAATAAACACCATGTACGGCTGTACAAATAAACTCCTCATCACGTGCGGACTAGCTAGTGATCCCTGTCAGAATAATGGTTATTTGGGAAGTAACTGCATGTGCGTGTGTCCTAATGGAACTTCAGGGAGCAACTGCGAGACTGTTGATACGCTCTATAATGGTTGGTTTCTCTTTTCGGTCTGTATTTGCACTGATAACCCTTACTTTTGGTCTCACACAGATTGTCATCTGTTAATGTCTTGTCTCACAAATGAAATATCTTATCCCATTTTATTTCTCAGACAGTTACGTTCATTACTTTCATTATAGAACACTGCTGAGCTTAGATTATCATTAATACAACTCCCTGAATACTTTACTTCAGGAATAGAACTTTTGCGATATGCTCCTAACAAATATTCAAGAGACACTGTAAAAGTCAGGCATGTTAAATCATGATACCATTTTAACAAAATTTAAATATTCTTCAGATGCTATCCTATATTTCAACACCGAGATCGTCACCGTTGAGAAAACCGTTACAACCGTGAACCACCCTAATCCTTACCCGCATGGTAAGTATAGCTATACAGTCTCAGATCCTTACTTTCCTTTTTTTTTTTTTTTTTTGTCATTATACTTACTTTCCATTCGAAGATAGTATGACTCAGAACAGGTCCTTCTTAAGCTTTACTTATTTGTAAACCTTTAGACGTCCTGACAGTTTTCCCTCAACTTAAGCGTCAAAAATTGATAAAACTATATTCCAACAATATTTCATTGTGAACTCCGTGTGTTGAATTTCCTGATAAAATGAAGACAGTGAACCAAGCGAATTTATGGAATATCTTGATATCTGTTATGTACACTGATCATGACTAATGAGCGGTCCAAGAAATGACATACTAATAACTAAATACCTGTATTAATACTAATGAGATGCTTGAGCCCGTAATATTAATACAAGAGAGAAAAATAACAACTACACTATGAAGATCAAGTTCAGGTGTTTTGAAAACTTGATTACCCATAATCCCCAACAACACAAAATGTCGATTCGCGAATCCACGTTAATGAATGTAACAGCAGACTACGAATAGTAGGTTCAACATAGATATACTCTCTGCTCCTTTTGAAATAGTGCAAATGTATTCTTGTGCATACATGTCAGCCAGGTTGAGAACCCGTGTTAGTCTCTGATATCCATAAAATTAAATGACAAGTGAAATGCGAGAGAATGCAACTCTATTTCTTGATGGAGACGCGCTGCAATGGGTTGAAACTCATATGCCGTAATAAACAAGTGTCACGTCACTTGGCTTTTCGAGAATTGCACCTTTGACTAAAGTTTTGTACTTAATGATTCAGTAAACAAAACATGGTGTGCTTAGAAACCTCAGTTATATAGACAAGGATAGATCGCAGGGCATCTGATTGTAGTGCGTGTGTCCAACTCTCTCCCATTCTATCTTTCACTGTGTAGAAATATACACATGTACGGATATGCTTTTCATACACAGACTGTATTTTCACGCAACAGATTCGGATTTCGTCAAATGGATAATCGCCCCCGAGTGTAATGAAGTAAAACTGACCTTCACGGCATTCAACGTGTACCAAGCGACTACACGAACGATAGACGGCGTTCCCACACTCGGCTGTTGGTATGATGCCCTGGAAATCAGGACTACTAATGCATCGGAAGGGCAGTGGTATGTATGCGTTAGCAAGTGTTAAGGTTGTTGAGTTTGAAATATAAAAGCAGTTTGCCATTGGCACTTCTACAAAAAAGTAAAAAAAAAAAAAAAAAAATTCCCGCTAAAGAAAACAAACAATCGCTAAATATAGAATGGCATCACAGTATAAGGGCCAGAGTTTAACTTACCCTTATTTACTTTATTGATCTAGAATGACCATGCTTCGATTTTATTTATTTGTTTATTTTTTGTAAGGTTCAATAACCAGTCAGAAATCAACTTTAACTTTGAAGAATGTGATAAGATAAGTAGTAATAGCTCTTAGTATTAGAATACTCTACATTTCATACTGTGCAGTGGAATCAGGTGTCCTTTTTTATTAATCACATGAAGACGATTTTATTAAATACGTTGCTTCTTGTTAGGGTATCCTTTTAGATGGAGATTTTTTTTTTTAGATTAATAAGATATACATATGTGTGTGTGTGTGTGTATAAAACATAAAGAAAATATGTTATGGGATAGATGTAACAATCCCCATATGACCTATTATAATACCTAAATGGTGTCAGAGAAATATACTGATGAAATTTTAAATGATTGTTAAAATGGTAAGGAAGTTTTAAGTACTCAGTGTTTAAGTATTAAATGAAATATTAAATAAAAATCATGGCCGGGCCATAGCCGAAGGCCCGGGCGAAGCTAGTACTTCGCAAATCACAATGTATGTAATTAATTTAATGACTTGCAAGTATTATATTAGATTTGTCTTTATTTGATTTCTTCACTTTTTTTTCAATTAGAACGATTTCAGTCTCCAATCCAAGTTGGCCTATACATGGTCAAGCGATATTACACTAACATATACTATTTTAACCTTTACAGAAAGACGGTATTAGGTTCTGTTTCCTAATTATTTTAACTTAATAAATTATTTTACCTTTTTTTTTTATTTATTCATTTTTCTTTTTTCATCCTTGTGTATTTCGAGAATATATACGAATTACATAAAACATGTACGACGCGTTTGTATGGCCGACCACGAAAACGCCTTCATGGATAGATCCTTATTTCACTTGTAAATAACACTCAATCCATTCCGCCCCAGATCTTTACATTTATCTTATTATTATTGTTGTTGTTGTTGTTGTTGTTGTTGTTGTTGTTATTACTACTACTATCATATACATATTTGCTTTGAAGTGCACATTCGATCATGCAAAAGACTTGCCTTGTTCATCCGTCATATCTCTCTCTCTCTTTCTTCTTGCCCCCTTTTTTAATACTTTATTGTAAATCATTTGCTTCATATTTAGTTATGATTATTGGACATGACACAGTCAAAAACAATTCTTTTTTTACACACTAAAGGAATTCATGTTTAATGACTCCTATCTTGAATCTAACCTTGCCTGATTCAGCCACATAATATACAGATAATACCTAAAGTCATCTATTAGTGGTCTTTACCGACACACGTACTTTGCTTTTGAAAGATTGCAATGGCTGACCTTCCACACCAGTGACCGAAATGAATAGATTCCATTATTTGGAATACCTGGAGAGAAACTGGTGGTGCGCCATGCAACAACGCGGTTCCTCCAGTGTGGCGGGCGCTCGTTCCACTGTTCTCATGGGGCGCAGCTTGTCTTCCTGGCAGTCTTATTGGCTGCAGGTGCGGGGCGTGTTAGCGATGGATGTCGTCGTCAAGCCAGCTACGTCTCTCCTGTGTTGAAGGCTGTCGAGGTTCAGTTGATACTGTTGGGTCCTGTCTTCGACGATTTTCTTCGCTCTTTCTTGTATTCTATCCAAGATTTTGAGGCTAGTGATGTTGTAGTTAACTTGGATATCACTGTTCGTCCTCTCGACAACCATAAGCTGGGTCTTATTCGGGGAAGAGGAGACGTGCCATTTCTCCCCCAAGTCAATATTTGCGCGAGTGTGTCGTTTTTCTTTATGTTCCCTAGGCTCAGATCTAAAGGAGAGTGTTCCATCATCCGCAAATGCTTTGGTTTCAAAAATGAAGTGGAGCAAGTCACTGAGGAAGACATTCCACAGCAGAGGGCCCAATATGCTTCTTTGAGGGACACTTCCTTTGATGTCGTAGCAAGCAGTGTTTTCCATATAGAATTACTCTCATTTGTTTGTCGAGTAGTTCGCCGTCCACTCTAAATGCTTTTAACTTGCTTAACAAACCTAGATGCCGTACCCTATCAAAGGCTCCCTCTATGTTCAGGGTAAGAACACATGTGCGTTGTCCGTAGTTAATTACAGCTGATCAGTCTGCAGTCATATGTAACAGCAGGTCGGCGGCAGAGCGGTTCTTCCGAAAGCCATATTGCCGGGTAGAAAGGTGTTTTTTGTTGAGGTGGCTTGTTAGGTGGGGAAAAAATCAGGCATCTTGCTGATGATTGATAACAAGGAGACTCTCCCTCCCTCCCTCCTTATCCCTCTTCCTCCTTCCCTCCCTCCATCCTTTTCTTCATCTCCCTCCTTCCCTCCCTTCCCCCATCTCTCTCCCTCTCTCACCCTCTCCCTCTCCCTCCAGGTTCTGTGGGACGGATATTTCGCCTGGCCAAGAGTTCCAGTCTGTTGGAGGGGAAATGATTCTTTATTTCAAAGTTGGGACAAATTTCAAAAGCGGTTGGTCGGCTGCCATCACCTTTGTTCCAATTCCTTCCTGCACGACTTCGGGAACAACTACCACCACGACTACAAGACCGTCTACAACTACATTAACTACTAGTACCACTACGATAACCACAAGCACATCAACAACAACCACAAGCACATCAACAACTACAACTACAACAACCACAAGCACAAGCACATCGACATCAACAACTACAACAACCACAAGCACAAGCACATCGACATCAACAACTACAACAACCACAACCACAACGGCATCGGGTGCTAACTGTACCATATACACAGAAAATGGACTGACTTACTTCATTTCTCCAAACTTCCCTGACCCTTATCCACCGAACGCGTACTGTGCCCTATTTGGAATTACAGTAAGTTTAAGGTCAATTTTCTAGTGATAATGACATATGTGATAATTATAATGATGAGGATCATGATGACGGTATTGATAATATGATAATGATGACGATAATGGCAGTAAGTTTAAGGTCAATTTTCAAGTGATAATGACATGTGATAATAATAATAATGTTGATAATGATAACAATAATGTTAATAATGATGATGGTGCTGATAATGATAATATTGATGATGATGATATTGATGATAATAAAGATACTACCTCTACAAAGGATAATGTTGATAATAATAATGCTAGTATAAATATTAGTAGATATCATTTTTATTATTATTATAATACTTATATTATTATTATTAATCATCATAATATTGTTTACCCTTGTAACGTATTAGTAAGCAATAGTTAATGACAATAATGATAATAATAAGGATAATAGTTTTGCTTTTTTGTCGGTAGGATTTTGTTCTGAAGTTTAAGAAAAATAAATAAATAAAGTAAGTTATTTCTTTGTTATTTAAAATCAGTTTAATTGCTAAATTGCTAAATCATTAGTATTATTCCTATCGGTATTATTATATTGTCATCATCATTATTATCAGTTGTATTATGTTCTTATCGTTGTTGTTATAGGTGTTACTGCTGCTGTCATTATCATTTCAACTAATGTTATTGTTAATATCATTCCCATCATATTATCACTATTACTGCCATCAGTATCATTTCCATCACTGTCATCATAATTATCCTTGCTATCATCAGTATTGTTATCATCTATTATCATTAGTATCATTATCGGCATCATCCCAGTTACCATTATTATCAATATTACCATTATCATCATCGTAATCATCATTATCATCATTGTTATGATTATTAACATTATAATCCTCATCGCAGTTATACTTATCATTATCATCATTGTTATCATTATCATCATCATTGCAGTTATGATTATCATCATTGTTATCATTATCATCATCATCGCAGTTATCATTATTATCATCATCCCTATTATCAATCGTATCACCATCTTCGCCCTTCAAAATCCACTGTCCAAACGCCACACCTTCTCCCCCGGCAGGAGGAGGTCGCCACAGTGAAGTTGTACATCAAGATTCTTCGTCTGCGTGCTGGCGACACCCTCGAGATCCAGAACCCTTACACGCCGCCGCTAACGTGAGTCATGATAGTGCTATAATTAGAGTAATGGGTTTCACTGTCTTGGTGCTTATGGTTAAGGCAGGACGCAGTGATCTTTGTGGATGGGAAAAAAAAGACTTAACTGGATGTTAATAAACACAAGTTTTCATATGTGCGCTTAGTGTGTGCTGTGTGACACAGTGGTAGCGTTCTTGCTGACCTGCGTTCAAGTCCAAATAACAAATGGAAGTAACCAGAGGCGTAGATAGGAAATTTTATAGGGGGGGGGGGGGGCGAGAAATACAGATTTTCCAACAAAAATTTAATAAGCATTTTTGTTTCTTCATGACTATTTTCCAACAAGATTAGCAATTTTCCGACAAAATGGCAGTTTAGCTTTAGAGGGGGGTTTTCCGCCCCCCCCCTGACCCCTCTCTATCTATGCCACTGGAAGTAACTATATATACTATAATTATATTATACACACATACGCGCTCGCATATATGCATATTCAAAAACATCTACAATGCATGTAGATGCGTGTAAGTACACAACACACACAAACATCACAAACACACAACACAATACACATAATTAAATAAACACACAATTCCCACACAGCATGATTTCTCTTCAAAGTTCCCTAGAGGTTAGGCTTTCCTCTGATGCCTCTGTGTGTCTTTCCTTCACAGCTTGTCGGGGAGAAAAGACGGATATAGGAAGATCATCCCCAGTGCACAATTCCTCGCTACTTTCACGTCCAATGCTGACGAAGAGTGGAAGGGTTTCCATGCACAGTTCAGGCCGAGGACCTCCTCGTGCCACCAAGTAAGTTTGATGACAATTTCTCCCTCAGGGCGTCTTCGACTCGCCCAGTTAGCGAGAGACAGATGTAAACTCATCGGGGGACATGAATTTTTTTGTTCCTCCATTGTTAACAGAAAAAAATGCTATGTAGCTCATCATGAATCCAAATATCAACATATGGAAAATAAAAATAACTGTGGAATATTCGTTAAGCAAAAAAACACATGCATAGAGCACCAAGGGAAGGACGCCGGATGACAAAGGGTAACGTGTGTGTGTGTATTTATATATGTATGTAAATATGTATGTAAATATATATGAATATATATATATATATATATATATATATATATATATATATATATATATATGAATACATATATATATATATATATATATATATATATATATATATATATATATATATATAGCTACATGTATATACATATGTATATAAACAAATATGTTTGTACACACACACACAGAAAATGTGTACGTGTGTATATTTATATACATACATACACACATACACATACACACACACACACACAAATATATATATATATATATATATATATATATATATATATATATATGTATATATATATATATATATATATATATATATATATATATATATATATATATATATATATATATATATATATATATATATATATATATATATATTGTATGTATATCCATTTGTATGCGTAGCAAAACCCCCAGTTCCTGTAGCGCAGTCCAGCCACCTCTCACGGGCGTCCCTCCCCAGGTCCTCTCCGCCAGCCCCGGGGGAGTCATCGCGTCGCCCAGATTCCCCCGCAGGCACCCGAGGAAGAAGTACTGTGAATGGAAAATCATGGTATGTTTTGATACTGATTACCCATTTATTTGGAAGGATTGACCCCTTTTGATCGAGCTTATAGATGCACATGTGGATTGAAGTGAAAATCAAGTCCGGTATGCAATATCTCTTCCAATCATTGGCGAAGGTAGAAATCTTCATACAAAACAGTAATGGGTTTTAGTTTTGACATAGGGATATGGTGGCACGTAGGAGCATGCAGATCTGAATAACTTTTTTCTCTTCTTTTTCTCTTTTTGTCTCAGCTTCATGACACTCCTTTTCCCAACTAATCCAAGAGGTTTCCGAATAGGCTATCTAACTAAAGAAGGAAGAATATATATACTCACTAATCCACTGAGAGCACACATCCACCCATACATTCTTTCTTCCATCCATTTCCAGGCGTCGGTTGGCAAGAAAGTTCAGCTGACCTTCACGCACATGCGCCTGAGAACCCACGCTCAGAACTTCGTGGCTGTGAACCCAACCACCGACCCTTACTACGCCCCTGGTTCCGTCCTCTCCTTCAACGGCTTCTCACTCCCGCCGAACGTCACTTCGGACTCGAACCTCATGAGGATCTTCTTCTCCGGCAAGAGGAGGAGCAAGGGCTTCAGGCTGGTGTATAGTGAGGTTTAGAGAAAGGGGGGGGGGGAGAAGAGGGTGGGGGAAGGAGGAGAAGAGGGGAGGGGGAACTAGGGAGCGGGAAAGAATGAGAGGGGAAAGAACAGAAGGGAAATGATGACAGACCAAAAATCCTAGAGCAGAAAAGGGGGACTGGAAGAAAACGAGGGAGAAGAGAAGGGAAAGCAGAAAAAAAAAACAAAGGAAAGGGGAGAAAAGGAATGAAAGAGGGGAGACGAGAGCAAAATGAGAAGGGAAGAGGATGGAAAATCAATTTTAAGTGAAAGGGTAATATTTCTTATTGGTTCGATAGTTTCATTATTTGGGTTTGATGGTCACCTTTCTCCAAGTTTCGACCTTAAATATGCTCACGCAGTTGTACACACCCAGATAAAGTGGCTTCGGGAAGTTCAAGGTATTTATCTGATGAATTATTGCATATATATTATAGCAAAATTAATCATTAAAGAGTGTTTTTCTTCAACCTTAAAAACACAAACACACAGATATGTGTTTATGTATGTATATGTATATATATGTGCATATACATATATATGTGTATATGCATATACATACATATATATAGTTTTAAACCAGTTTTAAACCTGAAAATGGATTTAGCTGCTGAAAGCATATAATTTTATCATTCCTAAAGCTAAACTACAGAAGAGAATAAAATGCACATGGTTTCGATTAAGAAAGTACTGTGTCCAAAATAATCCACAAATAATATACACTTTTTTTTCTTATATCAGTTGTGCACTCTCTGAAATAGTTAAGCAAAAGACACCATCTTATCACCAAATGGAGCATACTGGACAATGTACGTGAAAGAGAGAGAGGGTGGTTGAGAGAGAAAAGAGAAAGAAAAAGAGAGAGAGGGTGGTTGAGAGAGAAAAGAGAAAGAAAAAGAGAGAGAGGGTGGTTGAGAGAGAAAAGAGAAAGAAAAAGAGAGAGAGGGTGGTTGAGAGAGAAAAGAGAAAGAAAAAGAGAGAGAGGGTGGTTGAGAGAGAGAGAAACTACGCCCTCATACTAAATATATAAAGTGACATCTGCCAGCACACTACAGGTTCGAATGGAAGTAAGCATCTTTTTGAAAGGAGAAAACGAGTCAATGAAAAACTAAAAAGTAAAAAATTACAAACAGCAGAATATGCATAATTATGTATCTATGTACACACATATATAAACACAGTATGTATGTGTGGATGTGTATATATATGTATATATATATATATATCATATATACCATATACACACACGCACACATATTTAAGATATATATATATAATTAAGTCTGTGTGTGCAAGATAGATGGCATTACTCCGTCGTGGTGAAATTTTAGTGCCGAGCTACTTACCGTGAATACCATTGACTATAACTCTTACATACCAAAAGTTAATTCCAAGTATAGTAAAGGTCTTCGTTGAAAGGAACACGAAATATATATATATATATATATATATATATATATATATATATATATATATATATATATATATGTATATATATATATGTGTGTGTGTGTGTGTGTGTGTGTTTGTGTGTATGTGTGTGTATTTACATACATAAATATATATATATATATATATATATATATATATATATATATATATATATAGAGAGAGAGAGAGAGAGAGAGAGAGAGAGAGAGAGAGAGATACATATACATATATATACAAAGATAATAAAAACATGGAGGTCAAGCATTGACATGAATGCCAGTCGAGGTCGTGCAGGTGTTAATGCCAGAGAGAAGAAAAAATATCACGCGTTTTGATGATCATGATCATGATCATTATCATAGTCAATAATACAATTATATTTAGAATTATAATTGCAATTATTATTATTGTTATTATTATTAGCAGTATCCTTATTATTATTCATAATATTGTTGTTGTTATCATTATTATTGGTAATATTATTATTATTGTCATTATTATCATCAGCATTATCATTATTACCATTATCATCATTATTATTATTATCATTATTATTATTATTATCCTCATTATTATTATTATCATCATTGTTATTATTATTATCATTATTATTATTATTACTATTATTATCATTATTAGCATTATTATTATCATTATTTTTTTTCTATTATTAGTATAAGTATTATTATCATCATTACAATCACATTTATCATTATCATTATTATTACCATTATTTTCATCATCAACATTATCATTACTACTACCACGCACAGTATACATACGTGCTAGATTGACACGTAAAAAAAAACGGCACTGAAATTAGTATGAGGAGCACTGACCGAAACACCTGTGGCTGTTGGACATTTTATCATATTCACAGGAAAACGTACAAAGCTAGTTACAAAAGAGATTATATATAGATGCTAGTTGTGTGTACTTAAAACAAGGCAAATCATTATTTTTCTGTTGCAGCAGTGACGGCTGCAATCCCACACTACCACTACTATTACTACTACTATTAATGATTTATTATTAGTAGTAGCAGCATACTAGTAATAATGATATTGATAACAATGATAATAATGATGATGATGGTAGAGATGATGATGATGTTGATAATGATAACAATAACAATAATACTAATAGCTATATAATGATATTTGATTTTTAAATATATATTATATATATACATATATATATATATATATATATATATATATATATATATATATATATATATACTGAGCTTACCCAACAAGATTTGTAGGCATTGCCATGGTACATTTATGGATGGCTACGAACCTGATGGCAAATAGTTTCACTTTATGATATACCACAGTCTTCACACAAATACTAGAACGAAAAATTTAACAAGAATTTAGTACTATCAAGTGTGAAAGGTTTAAAGGCAGTTATATATAAATGATTATGCATGACCCAACATAAGAGCACATAAATCATAATTCATAAAAATGCACTGCGCAACAGGCGTCGAAAAGTGGCCGCTTAGCCAATGAGGCAGTTCCGTGAGATACCAAGAGTCGCTAGATAAATAATACAGTGTATAATCTACTTGAAATTTATATTACCTGACGTAAAACAATAATTCTACTTTGTGTTTCATAGCATAAAGAGCGTTTGAATACTCCAGGGAAAAAGTCAATCTAATTTTTGGGTATATCAGAATAATTGTAATAAATGGAAGTATCGCTACCTGTTCTTTCAATACTTTATGAGAATGTAAATAAGTAAATGTATATCTGGCAAATGAATATATATATATATATATATATATATATATATATATATATATATGTATGTGTATATATATATATATATATATATATATATATGTATATATATATATATATATATATATATGTATGTATGTATGTATGTATATATATGTATACCTATATATGTGTGTGTGTGTGTGTGTGTGTGTGTGTGTGTGTGTGTGTGTGTGTGTGTGTGTGTGTGTGTGTGTGTGTGTGTGTGTGTGTAATTGATACGATTATTTATAGGTGCTAAGGCACTAAAAAATCAACAAATTTTGGCAGTAACGCTGTTCAGTGAGATTTCAGAACAGTGTTGTTTTAAGGGAAGATTCGGAGGCAGTAGGCTCATCCATAACCAATCAGCGTTTTCAATGTAGGGAGTCAGTTCGGTCAATAACGTTCGATGTCAACATGAAAACACGCTTAGCAAAAGAGTTTATTGTTAATAAGTCACAGGGTGACAATTCGTTTAAAATGATGTATGATAATAGATCATTTATTATAAAACTAAATATTATAATTCTGTAATGTACCATGTTTCATGTATATACACACAAATATATATATATATATGTGTGTGTGTGTGTGTGTGTGTGTGTGTGTGTGTGTGTGTGTATGTATATGTATATATATAAGTATGTGTTTAACCCCTTGGTGCCGGGTATGACGTGTACGTACGTGCTATGCCCACAGTGAGTACTTGTTTGATTGTTTTTACGCATAGATGGCAACACTTGTACTAACTCCCCAATGAGCCAGTTACGAGCACCGCCCGCCTCGCCCGTTTACCCGTTTCTTTGATTTACGAAATATTTTACGTAATCTTATTTTGCTGTTACTAATGTTAAAAAAATATATAAGAATTACAATGTTTATGATAAAAATAACACCATCGATTTTCATAGCATTAGTGAAAAATACGTTTTTCCTGCCATTTAAATCAGGCGCTAGCAGAGCCATCTATCGGCAGACATTTCACGAAAAACACAGAAAGTGGGCCCAATATTTTCCCCATTTTTTGTTCATTTTCCCCGGCACCATTGGGATATATATACATATAGGTGTGTATCAGTGTAGGTCGATATGTATCATATAAATACGAAGGTTATATAGCTTACACAACCATAAAATTAATAAATCAAACTAATGAAAAGTGAACATATAACATATACTAATATCTGTATTTCCCCTTCTCCAATATAAAGCAATAGAAATGATAGATAATGCTATAAGTCTTAGTTTGAATTACCTTAATAACTCATGTTGGTGATTCTTTACATTAAACGTAAATGATGCTTAGAAGTACATTTCGAAGTACGTGTGTGTGTTAGGGGGGGGGGGTCATTTACCTACGGGTTGTGTATCTGAGAAATTTGTTGTCACAGATCCGTATTGTACGTTGCGGGACCTAAGAATCACCCTTAGGTTTACGACGACTAAAATGGAGGATACGGCCAGTACATGAGGTAAGGGACCGTTACTCCAATTAAGGGGAATGTTTAACCTTAAGATCGTTAGAGAATCCGGTCCCTCCACTATATTCTGAAAACTCATTGCCGCCGGGGGTGGCATGTACGTGCACGCCATGCCCACTGTGAGTCGACTTGTTCGATTGTTTTTACACACAGATGGCTACACTTGTGCTAAGTATTCAATGAGCCAACTACGAGTACTGCCTGTCTCGCCCGTTCACCCTTATCGTCGATTTACGAAAATATTTAACGCTATCCTAATTTGCTGTTAAAAATAACACCATCTATATTTATAGCACTAGTAAAAATACGTTTTTTTC